AACCAAAATTTGCAGTGCTTCAACTGTTATCTTGGTGCATGCCATTAGCAAAGCTGTGTTTCCGTTTTCTCCTTCCAAATTAACATTAGTACTGCTATGCTCAGTCAGGACTAAAGGGTGAGAATAATTGTCAAAAAGCTAAACTGCTGATTTGCAAATAAGGTCCTTGTCTTCACCAGATTCAAGTTTGTAGATGCCAGGGACATATCATTTGCCTTGTTCATCCCTCTCTGATACAATCAACACAAAAGCTTGCACATAACTAGGCACTTAAATAATTTCTCAAAAGATGAAATAGTCATGATTTCAATTCATCATAAATTAAGGCAATACTGAGTTGTGGAACTAGAAACATAATAAGAATTGTAGATACTAGTTAACATAGCTTCACTTAATATTTCTCACTCACTTGTATTAAGTGAGCGCTATGCTACTAATATTTTTCAAGAAATTAAACCTGTGGAGTCATTTAGAAAATGGTGCATGGGAGAGGAGGAGGAGGAGGAGGGAGGGAGGAGGAGGGAAAGAAATGAGAGAGAAAGAGAGGAGGGAGGGAGAGATGGTTTTCTTTCCCCTCCTACTCATTTTTCTTTATAGATTACAAGCATTCTGGAAATGTCAATAAAACTCCATTCTCAGGGCCGGCGTGTGGTCTCACGCCTGTAATCTAGCACTTTGGGAAGGCCGAGGGGGCGGATGCTCAGGGTCAGGAGTTTGAACCAGCCGAAGGAGACCCATCTACCAAAATAGAAATAAATTAATTGACCAACTAAAAATATATATACAAAAAATAGCTGGGCATGGTGGGCGCATGCTGTAGTCAGCTACTGGGAGGCCTGAGGCAGTAGGATGCCTGAGCCCGGAGATTGAGGTTGCTGTGAACCAGGCTGACGCCACGGCATCCAGTCTACTTAGCTGGGCAACAAGTGAGATCTGTCTCAAAAAAAAAAAACAAACAAAAAAACAAAAAAAAACCCAACTCCATTCTCTTCAGTAAAAGAAATACAATTTTGTGTAACAGTTTGATATAGCTTAACTCAATTAATTCAAACTTGGTCTAGAACAGAAACTTCTTCTACAATATAAGAAATTCGCATGCTGATATAATGGTCAAGTAACTTTTCTGATGGAATTTCATTGAAGACCTGTAACTTCCTCACCTGATTGACTACCTGCTAATTATTGCCCAAGAGTCTATAGATCTTTAACTAGTCTTCGTTTTATATTTAATGTAACCAAAATAATCTCATATAGATGTCTTATCAAGAGAGAAACCTTTGAATTAGTCTATTAGATAGAGGCATTTCCTATTACAGCAAGACTATGATAAAACTATGACATGCGCCTTATAAAATAAATTATTTTAAAAAATTTATTAAATAAACTGTTTCTTAAAAGCCTTGACTATACAACCTAATACCAGAGCCACCTGTTAACAGAATGAACCCCAATCTATTAGCAAATGATTCAGGCTTACTAATTAGCTCTGCTCATAAGAGGAAATTAAACCAAGATTTCAGCACATAAGAACACACAGGGAAATTATTGATGGATGCAGGGACATGAGGACAACAGGTTCCTTCTATGGACTTTAGGCACCTTCTGTCCTTACAAAGTCTGGGTTCACATGTAAAATAATCTACCAAAGCCTACAAAAAGAGATTTTTCTTTCTTTGACCTTTTAGAATCATAGATCATAGATCTGTCACCTATATTAGGCTGTTATTATTGTACTATCATAAGCGCAATCTTTCTTTTTTTTTAATTTGAGACAGAGTCTCACGTTTGTTTGCCCCAGGCTAATAGTGCCCTGGATCAGCCTAGCCCACAAGCAACCTCAAACTCCTGGCTTAAGCAATCCTTCTGCCTCTGCCTCCCA